ACAGGACGACCGACAACTATAGTTCGGGCCACTGGCGGCTTGGCTTTCTCGCCACCTCTCCACAAGTCGCGCAACTTATCGCCTGAAGCGCTGCAAGTTGTCGCTTTGCATCAGCTTCTTGGTCATCCGCAAGAAGGTCAAACCGTACAAAGACTCCTCCCAGTGCGCAGCCGTTCTCATGCTTCGGAAATGAAGAAGTTGACATGATTGCTCTGCGTCTGTGTTTCAAACCACCTGTTTGGACATCGCTTTAATCGCTGAGACTACACAAAACTCCTTTTGTTTAGCCTGCGTTGCCCTCACCCTTACTTAACCAAGTTGGTGGCAAGTTTAAACAAACTACTAAGTAACCTGATACTAGATAGCTCATGCTTCTTCAAGGAAGCTCCCCCGGCCTGAGGGCCGCGGGAGCTTCCTTGAACAAGCGCTCGCACTATTCAATTGGTTCGCAAAAACAATTCTCATTGAACCGTCTCGGCCAACCCGAAGGCATTGTTCCAGGATTGTTTCTACGCCTCTAGCATCCAGCTTTGCCATACGATTGTGAATATCCGCCAAGAGTGATGATCCTAGAAGTTCGCCCGACAAAGACACTGCAGAAACAAAGGACATGTTTTAACAAAACTGGGGGGATGGTATGAGAACCACAATGGTAACCTTATGTATATAACCTTAAGAAAGGTGGCCTGGATTAAAGAGATTTGATTGAAGTTGGTTGAGGAGAGCAGCGACGTTGGCAGAGGCAGTGTTTGCATATCCCTTTCCTGCCGTAGTTGGTTGCCATCCGCCACAATGTTATTGCGGAAAAAAGGGATAAACGAGGAAATAATAATGGGATAGACTTGTGTCCACCAGAGGTGGCTCTATTCTAGAAATCATCTAACTTGAAAAAGAGGAAAAGCAAAAAAACAACAAACCAAAAAAGCACAAGCAAACAAAGAGCAACCAAGAAGGCAAAAAACAAAAAACAATTGCAACCAAAAAAACACAAGCAAAACACAAAGGGTAGTTTGGAGGGGTCGGGTAGGGTTAGTACTGGACAGGGGTCTTTTCTGGTGCCAGGTCAAATGTCGCACTTTTGGTCGCTTTTTTCCGCTTATTTTTTTTTGCGAAAAACACGCGAAAAAAAGAGCGAACAAAAAGCGACCAAAGTGCGACTTTTCACCCGGCGCTGGAAAACATTGAAAAAAAGGCGACCAAAGGTGCACCAGAAAGTGGACCCTCCCCCAAAAGTGCGCCAGAAAGTGACCATCCCCCAAAAGTGCGCCAGAAAGTGGACGCTCTCCCAAAAGCGCGCCAGAAAGAGCGGCAGAACGTGGACCCTTCCAAAATGTGCGCCAGAAAGTCTGGCTGAGTTGTTCCAATTTTGTTTGCTTTTCTTTTGCTTTTATGATTGCTTTTGTTTTTCTGGCTGCAATTTGTGATTGCTTTTTTTTATTTATAAACTTCTAGAATCTAGAATAAAGGGTCTGGCAAACACAAGAATAGACGAGGCTCATGCCTTTCATACAAAACCGCGATCCCGCCCACCCATTTCATCTCGGCCGCTGTTGTCGGAAGAAGATAGCAACGGGTCGGTCGGGGCATATTCACGTGTGGTGCTCAAAGTCCTGATAGACCAACATCTGGTCATAGGCGTGCTGGTCGTATCCTGGGCATGCCGTTTCCAGTGGAGCATCACATCATACACTTCACCACCCAGCAGCTTGATGCAATTCTGCATCTTTGTCATGAGGTCTTCTTGGAAACAGGGCAAAGGGATGGAAAGGGCGAGAAAAGGCGGAGGATTCCGAAGGATCTACTTGTTCAAGCTCTGCTTTTCAACCAAGTTGGGTCGAATGACGCTACCACATCGAGCATCTTCAATCGATGTGCTGGAAAGGACATTCGACGTCCACGACTGGGTCGTGGAGCTGTTCATGTCTCAACTAAATGCTTTGGACAGCCACTAGAAATAGCTTGGACATCTTGGATGAACACTTTCCATTCAAAAAGCAACAGCAGCCGTGTGGCACCACGCCTTTCCGAAGTTCACGGGTTGCAACACTCACACACTGGAATAACTGTGCAAAGAGACTGTGCAAAGAGGAGATTTCAGAGAAACAACCTAATAGCAATCCAACCTACTAGCGATGGCCTCCAACCTCCTAGCCATGGCCTCCAAACATGATACAAGCAAAACTAAACACTCGACTCTTAGGATTCTTAGGGGATAGATTAGATAAGTGAAGAATTCCAAAGCACAGTGGCAAAGTATACAAAAGAGTCCGGAAAGTACAACAGTTCTAGAGAAAAGCGAGGAACACACGAGGTTTATACAAGCCATTCTCGTAGCTCTTAGCTTTACACATCACTCACAATGTGACATCCATCCTTCTGTCCTCCCAATCCCCAACTACTCATTCCACTACATGTGGGAACCACCTGTCGTAGGCTGTTTGGTTCTTTCAGTTCTGGAAGCAAGGCTTTACAGCCTGGATAGGGTTGAGTGCGCACAAAAACAATTGGAGGCTTGGTGTTTCCCTGTCTCGTTTGGTCCCACCAAAGCTCGTTCGAGAGCGTTCTCCCCGGCGAAGTGCAGGGATGCCGCTGCCGCAGCCTCGACCAACGGTGCGCCGGTCTGGGGTTCGAGATCGGCAACCTGACCAAGGACGCTACTAGGAGCAACAAGGGCATTTCTACTAGGAGCAAAAAGGCTACTGGGGGCTCCTGGCATCGCTAAAGGGAACACCTCAGGTCTTGGGGAACAAGTTCGCTCCACTTGCCTTGTTCTCACAGCAATGACTCAGCAATGGTCCGAAATGCATGAATCCAACGGGAGCCAGTGATTTTGAGTGTTTTCACAGCACGATGGTGGGTCAGGTCTAGGTTGATGGTTGGGAAAAGTCTCCTACATGAAGAGGTTTAGAGTGCTTGTGCCATGGGAGATTTTGGGGTACTGATCCCCTGCTACGGCGAACGGCATGAGCGATCGAGAACGACACAATTATACCGATCCCTAGATTACAACGGGTGAACAGACGCCGTTTTCAACCTCTTGAGGGCCAGGTTGTGTTCCTCCGCCCCCACTGTCCACGTTGGATCGACGACAGCATAGCACGGTGATCTTTTGTCTTCCGCGGCTGGAAGGCTCATGCTAAGCCAGCCCGTTCCCTTGAGGTGACTTGGCTCAAAGTTCCACTCAAAAGGAAGCCACAAACAAATACAAACAGTGGTTTGGCTTCTGAGACTTCGATAGATTGTTGCTTATGGATGGGTGGTTGAGGGCTTGTTCCCACAGACTGGATTGTTTCTGCTGATCTTGCGCACATTTCAGGAGGCCTTTTGCATAAGTTCCGAGTTGGCTGATGCTTCTCATCCCAAACCCCTGGTTCATCCCGCAACCCATGCCAGTCTGTGGCTGAAGCTGCGGTGGTCCACCTTTCCAGTTCTTTGGCAAAAAATCCTCGACAAAACCACAAGACACAAAAACACACATCCACCATCCATCCATAGAAGCCAATACTTTCAACACCTTCAACCATCTTCGGAGTGCCCAAAAGAAACATCAAATAACAATCAAGCTAGAAGCTAGTAGGTTGGAGGCCATCACTACTAGGGTGGAGGCCATTACGACAAGCAAGGATGCTACTAGTAACAATGTTTGTTGCAATATGTTGCAATCATAATCCACACCTTTCATCTTTCGTCCAACAGAATCGTTTTTACCGGTCCTCTGAGCCGGTCACTGACCTGGGGATCTCACCAGGTATTTCGCCACAAACATTCAGCTGGACCCCAAGTGGCCCTAAGTCAACCACGTTTTGATCAGCTGCCATTGACCAGAGTTTTGCACCACGTCATAAAGGATAAAGAACTGGGAGCCACTCGAGTTCCCTCGGACTGCGCGCGCTTGGAGGGCCGTTGTGAGCGGCAAATTCGCCCGCTGCGTTGGACGAAGCGATGGGAGGTGCTGGCCCGAAAAGGCATGGGCCGCAGCGTGGGGCGGCCATGCGGGCGAAGCGGCTGACAGGAGGAAGCACTGAACACATCTGAAAAGAAGGACATGTTGTGCCGAACAGTGCAACATGGACGCACCACCAAACATGAATGAAGGAGAGATGCAATGAACATGCAAACAACTTCATTACGTGATAATGTATTATGACGAGGACTTGGAACAGAACATGAGAGCCGCAATGGTTCTGACAGGTCAAGTCCCAAAGTGTCTGTCTTTCTCCTTGTTCTTTTGGCTTGAAACGCCTGGGCAGTTGCTAAAGCCATTCAGCTCCAACTGTGCTTCTCCTGTGGCCCAAAAATGACCTCCACAAAAATACCTGCAACCCTTCACAGCAGGCTCTGAAGCGCTTCTTTGCTTCGGCACACTAAGAAAGAGACATGCTACGTCAAGCGAAGACTTGTTGGCACTAGTGGGGATGGTGTTCCAAAGAAAAACACTACAGGGTGGACATCAAGAACCTTGGGAGGCACGACCACCTTGTCTATTGACATAGGGGTCCCTTTCAAACACTCGGTAGAAAGCAAACAGTCTCATGAAATTTTCTATGAGTCGGGTATAGATCCTAGGGCCTAGGACCCCTTTCCTGTTGATTTGTCCTTTCTGTTTGAAGAACCATGATGAATCGAAGACTACCCACACATTGGAGACCAGAATCAAGGGGGGGCTGGTGCTGGCAGGAAAAAAAGAAGAGCGGAGCCGCGGAGCTGAAATGATCCTGTCAGCCAATTGTGGTGAAAGGTCAAAAGATGTCAAAAGGTCATTGTTATGATGCCTTTTTTGTCACAAAATCCGGTGGTTGAGTCAATGATCCGGTGACCCCGTGCCATCCACCAGTGGGGTGCCAAAGCAAAGACGCTTCAAACGTTTTATCATTTTTTACCGACTTCGTGGTCCACCCCAGGGCAGCTATGTTTCATGCTTTCTTAGGAGCCTTTTATAGTTTTTTTGGATCCTCCGCATCAGTTTTGGGTGCAAAACAAACTCTGACGGCTCTGAGGGTTGAACCGTTTAAAGAAAGTTCTATGCGGTGGCCGAAAACACTACCACCTCGTGTCACGACCAACATGCTGCTAATTATCCTCCTCTGCTGAATTCTCTTTTCATTGGCTTCCTCTGGGTGATCCACGGTCTGATACCTCTACAAAGGAGCAAATGCTCCCAACTCTCTGACCTGACTCGGCGGTCGAGAGGGAAAACGTCCCTCCTCACGAGGTGAAGGATGTTTTGGACCATCCCAACCAGTGAAGTGAGCTGTGTTTTGAGACAACACCTCGAATCAACACACGCCACGACAACCACCTCATGGGCGTTCGGGGGGTGACTCTTGCAACAACTGCACTAGGCTTTTCTCCATAACCTACTAGCGATGGCCTCCAACCTAACACCGATGGCCTCCAACCTAAAAGCGTACAACAAAAAGGCGATTTTCCACCAATCTTCTTTGGTCCTCCAAAGGAAAGACCAGTGACCAGCGGATTATGGAAAAACTGATTATGTGTCCAGGTATCTACAGGCTCGGAATGATACCTTCTATCAACTTCCTTGAAGTTAATGAAGGAGTAATGGAAAAAGGTGGTCGAAAAAAGAAAAATGGTTCGGTGTGGAAATCTATGAGTCCAAACCTCCTCTCGTGAAGAACTTGAAATCCTCAGAAACGTCGAGAGAGACGCGTTTAGTTTCGTCGTTTGCAAGGGGCCAAGGTCCGGTCGTTGGATCGCATGGAAGAAGGAGTCCAACTAACTGCATGTTTGTTTGCCGTTTGCATTGGCCTTTCCTAGTATCCATATATATATAATTATTACTATATTATGTTATATTACATTATATATATATATTATAGTATAATTTTGTTATATTATACATATGACTACCCATGCGTGGTTTGTGTCATTCTGGAAGTGTAGACGAACTTGGTCCCCTGCAAACATTCAAAAACGTCAGAAGGCAGCTTGCACCTTGGGTGCTGACCGACTTAGCTGGTCCACTGTCCTTCTCAACTCCACCGAAGCGACCCTGATGATTGTATCGCGGAGGTCTCTGAAAACGCAAGTTGCCCAGTCTGGAGGTCTGAGTCTCCGTGCTCTTCCAACCGGTTGACAGATGGTTTTCCCAAATGATCAGAATGCATCTGTGCGCGGACACTCCTTGTTTCCATTTGGTCGGTGTATACGCAAATGCTTGGACCAAAACAGGTTGGTGCGAACTCGTGCGAAGTCCAAAATCCCATTCATTCAATGACCTGGGTCAACTCATCAGTGGACTTACGGTGAATTGGATGCCCCCGGTCAAAAGGGAAGCATGGAAAATGGGTTGGTCCACAGGTCTGAATATTGCTACCACCCAGACCCAAAAGGTGCGGAATCAGTGCTTCTCAAACAACACCTGGAGCTAGGACGAACCATCCTTACTAGCTGCAGGCATTCACTAACACCCTTGCAGGGGTTCACTGGCTAAAAACACAAGATGATCTATCTACCCCGCTTTGAAGGCACAATCGAGAACCTTCGGCAATTCGGAGACATGAGGAGAACCTTCGGCCATCTCTTCAACACACACACACACACTCTACATTCCTCCTCCCAAATGTACTTCATGGATCCTTGGAGGCTCATCTCAAACGGTCATCTCTTCATCAAACACATGTCAAACACAACTCTTCGCAAAGTCCTCCATGATACAAGCTTCATCCAGGGAAGCAGTGGACACTTAAACTACTGAGTTGCTGCCAGAACACCGGGATTGCCCGATATCAGCACATCTTGTCGTTGTGATCTCTCCTGAGGTGAGCTAGCCAGCGTTTCAGCACCGCTCTTGGGTTACCACACTTGATCTGGTCAAGGTGTCTTGTGCTACTCCATACCCATGTAGACAAACAAAACTTTGGCCATTGTGCAACAACACTTCATGGCGTCTTCGCCGACTCACAAATTCAGTGAGAAAAAAACACAACATGTGTACATATTTAACCTGAAAATGCAATAACCCCATGGTAGTGGATGCATCTTTCATATGTTCGCTGGTTCTCAGGTCTGTGTGTGTGTGCGTGTTGGGCCGTTATACTTTGACCAGGTTTACTAGACACCACCAGACCGCCTCGTTGATTTCCCGCCTGCAGGAAACCCACAAAACAGAAGGTTGGCATGAGGACTCTCAAACATGCACAAATCAACTAAAAACCAGAGAAACACATTTCTCCAGAGAAACAGGAACGAAAGAACACATATATTACTGGATTCTTGCTGTAATGCAGGGAGGTACAATGAGGAACAACTCTGCATCCGCATATCATTTTCCATATATATATATATATGCAAAAACACGTCAACAAACAAGTGCGGATGTGCATGCATTCTACAAACCGACATCAACCACTTCTTTTTGGCCGTGCTGGAACCTACATAGACTCTGCAACCGTGTCCGGGTCACTAACAGCGTCTATAGACTTCCACTGCAGCCCAAAACGCTATGCCAAAGCCGACGTGAGCCTCTTCCAGTTCCAGGGAATCCCAAATAATTGATGGTTTTTATTCATCCCATATCTTCCCCATATGAAGGCTAAATGGAGGGTGTGTGGTGAAAGGGGGTCAGCAAAAATTGTTTGTACGAAGCTACTACTGCATCAATAATACCTTCCACAAAGTTTTCCTACGGGCCCGCCATTCCACGTAACGTCCACGAATAGCCCCGGGTTCCACGAATGTCCCGGGCCTTCCACGATGTCAGTAGAATTGATTTTTGGAAAACTCTTTTCTGTGCACTACCCTTCTGTTTGCCTCTGACCATATGCGTCGGTGTATCTCGCCATTTGTGTATTTATCTATATTTATCAGTCTCCCTCACAAGTATAACTGCCTCTAGATGTGAAGAAATAAACCAACATCTGCAAATGCATTTTGATAACGGAACGTGCATTCATGCAAATGCCACGTAGGCGCACGCAAAGAAGAAACCACGTATTGCCCCCCGTCCTAAGCCGCCTTAATCGCCTTAGCATCCAGTTTTGCCGCTGGGTTCTCTTGCATCACCTGCATCGGCATGTCTCTCCGGGGGGCGATCGTCTCCGATTGTGTCCTCGGGTCGATCATGGTTGACCTGGAAGACTAAGACTCGTCTTTTGAGAATTCAAATTTGCCCTCCAACCTAACAGTAATGGCCTCCAACCTAGGAGCGATGGCCTCCACATATCTGCGTGTCAAAAATTCTTGGAGCTGGAACATTCCCTTCCCTTTCTATCATAAACATAGCCAAGAACATGTATTGGGAGTAGTCCACAGGTATCCTGGAACTAAAGTGTACACCGACTTTTCGCCGTTGCAAGAGGATTCACCACTGAACGATGGATTTCTTGCAACTGTCCTTTTTGACTTCCAAGTTGACTTGAATCTAAGATCCAACATGATGGATAAATCGTGAGAAATGTGATTGGTCTTGTCAGGCACTCCTGGTGTGTATGACGATTGCGGTGGCGTGTGGACTTTCAAGAACCCCACGCAAAAGCAAGGCCAATTGGCGAGGTGACCGCTTTCTTCGGGTAGTCAGGTATTTTTCGAGACCTCCAAAGCTCCACATCGGGTGAGCGCGTACCTCTCAAAGATACACGCGAAACCCGTGGAATCAAACCACTAGAATTATAGTGCTTGGATCCACCATAGAACCGCGGATAGCAAACTCAGCGACCCCATCGCCCCCCACGGTAGACTGAGACCTCCAAAGCATGGGAACGTTGGAAGCCGGGCATGAACGAGGCGTAAAAGGCTTCGATGGGACCGTCCTTTAGGGCAAACACTTCAGCGGAGGACGGGCGGCCGACCATTTGGACAAAGGTGGTAGGGTTGATGGACCAATTCCTGCCAACATGCTGTTCGATCCCCAAAGACTTGGACATCATTGAAGTACCAATACCCGTCGGACCTCCCATCCAAATTGTTGGGCAGGAGTAACTGTGTGACCCTGCACTTCTTCACCACAGAAACCTGGACAAATTTGGACAGCATCAACAGTTAGTCACACTTTCATTCATTCATCATGCATTTACCATTTTTTCTCTACGCCTGGTCCCACTCAGCTCTCCTGCTTGGCCGTGGCAAAGTATTTCATGTACCAGTCGGTGAACTCCTGCGACGACTCGCCACGTGAGGTACTTCATGGTATTTTAGGCTGATTTGCCCTGCGTGTTGCGACCATGATGGCAATTGAAGCAAACCAAAGCTTGTGTTTAATGACTGGAAACCAAAGATATCTACAGTAAAAGCCGTTTGCTGTGCAGCTCGGTGGTGTTCCTCCACAGGGACGAATTCAACCCCAACACAGTGGGAGGAGTGCAGTGGTCTAAAATTACAGGGGCATAGACCCCAGATAGCGGGTGTATGGGCTTAAAGGACACGCTGAGGACGGCTGTCCCCGCAGCACGCAACATCAGACCACTCCACCAATAAAGCCGAATGGTAAAGTCGATCTATACCCCGTCGCACCAGTAACAAGTAGTAGTAACAAGAAGCTATAGGAACAAGTGCCTTACTAGTAGTAACAAGAAGCTAGTAGTAAAGTGCCGCGCTAGTAGCAACAAGTGCCTTACTAGTAGTAACAAGAAGCTAGTAGAAACAAGTGCCTTACTAGTAGTAACAAGTAACAAGTGCCTTACTAGTAGTAACAAGAAGCTATTAGAAACAAGTGCCTTACTAGTAGTAACAAGAAGCTAATAGAAACAAGTGCCTTACTCGTAGCAACAAGTGCCTTACTAGTAGTAACAAGAAGCTAGTAGAAGCAAGTGCCTTACTAGTAGTAACAAGTGCCTTACTAGTAGTAACAAGAAGCTATTAGAAACAAGTGCCTTACTAGTAGTAACAAGTGCCTTACTAGTAGTAACAAGAAGCTAGTAGAAACAAGTGCCTTACTAGCAGTAACAAGTGCCTTACTAGTAACAAGAAGCTAGTAGAAACAAGTGCCTTATTAGTAGTAACAAGTGCCTTACTAGTAGTAACAAGAAGCTATTAGAAACAAGTGCCTTACTAGTAGCAACAAGTGCCTTACTAGTAGTAACAAGAAGCTAGTAGAAACAAGTGCCT